CGCCACCGCGTCAACGTCACGGCGGAGGCCCCTTCTTCCGGAAATTAACTCATAAACTCCCCGGAGCGGGATTCAGCAGGATTGTGGGCACCACTCTGGCCCCGCCCTGCCACGCCACCTGGCCCGAGGGGTGGGTGGCACTGCCCGACTGCCCGTGACCCAATGTAGTCTCTTTGCTGTCTCTCTCTCTCTCTCGGGCAGCACTGGCTCACAATACTACTACTCCTACTACTGGCTATACCGTGCCGCCTAGCGGTAGCTACAGAGGGAGCACGGTGGAGGGAGAGGGAGTGACGGGGCAGAGAACTTGAAGGGGGTCGTGGTGGCCGCTGCCCCTCCCACTTGGCCCGCCTCTGAGCTGTCAGGTTAGGAGCAGCACGGCAACGCCCCGCCATACCCCACCCCAACCACATTCATCCCGCCCGATACCGTTCATCGGAGGCGTTGATCTACTAAGCCGCTGATCCCCACACTTTCGTTGATAACGGTCATTACGCCTTTTTTTTTTGCGCTTCGCGATAATACGGGGCCGTAGCGTTTCCTCTTTTGATGGTTTGTCATTTCTTTTGGGCGTCGGGGAGGCTGTGGCTGTCAGCGAACCGGGGCCCTGTGAGAGGCACCTTCTGCTGTTCGATCGACTGGAATGGCACTTGACTGTTAGTTAGAAAAGCTCGAATGCCCGAGGGCCTCTAAGCAGTGTCCCGCCCCTCACCCCCCCGGCCCGTGTCATATCGCTCCTGTGTGTCGCGTCGGTGTTATTCACGTTGTCGTGGTCCTCGACCTCCCCGCCGCCATCCTGCCTCTCACCTCGTCGAGCCCGTTGCGCAAGCCGTCGACCGCGGTCGACATGAAGACGCTGTCGTAGCTGCGGCGCACGCCGTCGGCCAGGCTGCCCACGCTGCCGGCCAGGACGGCGTCGGCGATGACGTCCTCCTGGAGCGAGGTGAGCGACGTGCTCCAGGCGGAGTGCATGTGCTCCCGAGAGCGCGAGTGCCGGCGGCCGTGCGCGGCCAGCGCCGCGTACTCGATGGGCAGGGAGCCGACGGAGCGCCGGAACTCGCTGTGCTGGCCGGCGTGGCTGCCCGAGCGCGGCCGCATGGCCACGCCGTTCACCGGGCCGTTGGCGCCCACCGTGCCCGGCTCCACGAAGCTGAGCGTCCGCCTGAGCGGCCGGGGGGCCCCCGGGACGTACGCCGCGTCGTCGGCCAGCGACAGCGTCGACCCCGCCCCCGACGAGAGTCCGTCGTCGTCGCCGTCGCGGCGCTCCGACGCCGACTCCTCGTCGATGGACATGGACGCGTAGCTCTTCCACTGCGAGGACGTGGACGGCTTCTTCTTGCGGCGCCGGTAGCTGAGCGTGCGCACGAAGGTGGCCGCCGTCTCGTCCACCGCGTTGGCCACGCTGGCGGACAGGTTGCCCGTGCTGCGGAGCAGGCTCTGCAGCGTGTTGCGCAGCCCGCCGCCGCCGTGGTGCTGGTGGTCTCCGCGGCCCCCATGGCGGCCGTGCTGCTCGGGCGGCACCACCGTCACCGACTTGCGCACCCGGGCTGGCGCCGTCGCCTCCAGCTGGCTGCTCAGTGTCATCCCCGTGACATCACGAGGTTGCCGTCCTGCAACACAGACCAACATGAACACATAAGTACACGTGGTACAAGTAGTGTACGCGGTGCGCCTAGGGGACCGTTTAGTCCAGATAACCAAATTCAAAGCCGGTGATTTTAGCTGTGCAATCCAAATTGCATCCATGGCAATACAATAATTTCTTTGAACCTGACTCAGTTTCATTGGTGCGACTACATTTTTAGTTAAAAATAAAGCTACTAAACTTAAGTCTGGGAGGTACTTAATGTTGTTTCTTACAACCCTGATTTGGTTGTATAGATAACTAAATGGTTCTCTGAATCTGCCGTGGCACTGGGTTAAGACATCTTTACGGCGAACTTCACCCCGTTACATCCCTTTACGATTGCGAGTTGGGCGCTGCTGCTGCTATGCCCAGCCCGCCTCACTGTCCTGCCGCGGCCTGTAAGGGGCTCCGTGACGGTAGGCAGACCCGCCGCGCTCGCCTGGCCTGCGGTGCAGTGCAACTGTACGGGGCAAGTCAAGTGGAAACACCATGGGCCGCACTACTACTATACATACACTGCTGGGGTGCCTGCGCCCCACACCTCGACCATACCCCTTCACCTTCACATCGCCGTATGCCACCAGCTTTTGCAGCGTTGCGGGCAGAATAACCTGGCCGTCGCCCATGCCCGGTACGTGTCGGAGGAAAAGGGGGGGGGGGAGGGCGTTTCCCCGTCCACACGCGCGCGACTCGCTGACAGGTGTAATGCCGATTTGATTAACGGCACCAGGGGGTGCCAGGCAATACGAGGGGAAATTTTTCAACCGTGGAAAAGTAAGTGAGGTAGTCGCAGTCGAGTTAGGGCGAGAGGGGAGGGAGGGGGGGGGGGAGCAGAGGGCGGTCCATACAGGTCACAAACCGATCCATTTCCCCCGCCACGAGCCGCGAGATGTCGAGTGAGTTTACGCGACTCCCGCACCGAAGGGGCGCGGCGAGCGGCGAGCGCGGGGCGACCCTGACCTCACCAGGGTGGAGGAGGCACGGCGCCAGGACCACCCGAGCGCCCCGCCCCTCGCGCGGGGCTGCGTCAGTATGGGCGAGAGAGAGAGTGTGTGTGTGTGTGTGTGTGTGTGTGTGTGTGTGTGTGTGTGTGTCGGCGTGTGTTCACAACACCCGCATGCAGCCGGCTCGGCCAGCAGCAAGCGCCGCACATGTTTGCCCCCTTTGAAGTTGGCGCGGGACGCGGTAGGGAGAGGGGGGTGGGGGTGCTGGGATCAAGGGAAACGGAAAGAAATAAAGGGGCAGGAATAAAGCGGATTACGAGAAGAAACTAGGGGGCTGGATGTGATCTAGCGGCCCCTCCTCCTCCTCCTCCGCCCGCTACTTCACGAGACGAATAAAAGTGGTTGACGAGCCGAATTATTGGCTGCTGAAAACTTTTCTCCTCGTCCAGACGCTCCCGCCGCCGCCCCTACGGCTGCCCCCCCCCC